ACGACTTAAGGACGAAACTGAAATGGTAGATGTTGGTCACATTTGTTTAAATAATCTTTCCGTAGGCTTTGCAAATTCACTCTCCAATCTGATTTGAAAGCTGTGAAGTCCGCTTTTAAATAATTCAACAGATGGTTGAAGGGAACAGTTCCAGATTCGTACAACAAAACAGAACTGCCACAAAAACATCAAATACAAGGAAGATTATATTTTTCATCGCGGAAACGTATGAAATACTAGTGAACGATCGGATGAGATGACGAAAATGCTTCAATTGTCTAGTGACATCGATCATCACATTTTTAACAGTGCCAGCTTTATATTTTTCTATGCACGATGAAGGCCGCCAGGAAAACAAAATTTGAAGTGGCAGTAGCGGCTCCAATATCTCCAAAAAAAATGTATCACACAAGGCCATGCAACACCCCACGTGGCAGTTTTAGTTTCATAATCAGTACACTGTTGGCACAACCGAGCCGTTTCATTTTCGAAATTGGCCATGAACTTACGCTTGAAAAGCGTATTAACAGACACGACTAGAAATTTTAGTGAATAAAATGTTGTAGAAACGCGTGCGCATGCATTGCATATTGGTTCCCAGTCGATTGAAACTGCGTTTATTCCATGTTCAAAGTCAATATTAAAGTTCTCCGCGTGCTGTTTCTCAATAGGTTGCAACATAACAGTTTTCGACAGACTGAAATTCCATGTTTTCTTTATATGGTGTGCATTGGAACGTGGTATATTGGACTGTAATTTGTCGCGGCTGCCGCCGGACGGCAACGGTTCCTCATGAGCACAGTTGTCCAATCTAATACGTTTACAGTCTTTATGAGAGTCGTTATATCTAAGTGTCTTGATTGGTTCCCAATGTCTATTGTTCAAACGAAGAAGAACATGATAGCTTGCTGAATTAGGTGGAAGGGGTGAATACAGAACCCACCGTGAGCTCTGAGCTACAAAGACGACGCAGTGCACCAAGAACAAATTGCAAAATATGGTTATCTCTAAGTCGCCACCGTAAACACCATCGCAACGCATATTTTCATTAAGAAGATACTCTTCCGCATTTGTAGTTCCAGCAGGACCGTACATTTCGAAATGGAACGGCGAGAAGGGCATTAAGGAAATATGATCACAAATGATTTTTCTTAGAGCAGTCTCCATGAATCGGGAGTTGGACCCTGTGAGTATAACTGCTAAAACTCCGAACAGACAATTGCAGTTGGCAGCCACTGAGCACACCTCAAGAGGAATATGTGAAGTAAGGAGGTGTGAAGTAAGGAGGTTGTTCGGATAATTGGCAAAGAAGTTACCACAAGGTAGCATTTCATGTTGCAAACTGAGTGGAAGTAATTTTCTGGAGGGCTAACAATTAGCATATCATTCAAAATAGTATTCGACAAAAAAGGTAGTTCTTCTACATCGGGTATTGGTACTTCGGCATCAGGTACGGTTGATTTGGCATCCAAGTTTGTTGTGTGTTTCGTCACTGATTCCATTAAATCAGACTGAACCGGCTCCTCTTTGATCTCGAAATAGTCAGTTGCACTCATAAGGGAAGTCACATCATTTATACCAAAAGAGGGACTCGCAAACTTAGATAGGTACCTGACTTGCTTTCATCTGAGAAGAACGATATATCACCACAAGATTTCGCCACATGTTCAGCAAGATTTGCATTGTTTGGTGAATTTTTGTCTGCTTTCTTTTTGCAAACGTGGCACCTCGTTTCATTTTTTTCACAAAGAGATTGCAAGCAGAACAGCGTTTTCTATCAAATTTTCTCTTTGACGGCCCGGGATTGGGTTCTACGCTTCCAATCAGCAAAAGAGAAACTAGAAGAGTTCGGTAGAGAACCATTAGGACAACCTGAAAGGACTTACTGATCACAAACTTAACTTTGAGCATACGAAGCTCTATTCTAAAATGTTAAATGAAATCCTGTCTCTTATTGATAACTCTCAACTACAAACAAAGCACGTATGGTCCATTATAGAAGCTATTAATACTGCAAAACGTTCTTCACAAAAAAAAATTCGGCAAGTGACTTCAAACGTTTAAAAACTCATACATCTGTTTGTAAATTCTAATTTGCCTATAAATTACATATGGTCCATTATAGATGAACTTAAAATAAATTGTCTTTATAAACTTAACGACCAACTCAACTACTTAATCTATACAAAAACATGTTCGGAGATAATAGTGGCTCCAATTCTAATAACAAGCGGTTTCTTGTAAGATGGAATCACGCAACCTGCCTGCTTGCCATTCATCGGGGTATTGCACGCATATCATCTCGATGATAGACGTCCGGTTGAGCAACTCGCTTTACGTTATTTCCCTCTTTCAACCTCTGCAACCTAGAGAAACATTTCACAAATTGATAGAATCGGACTAGCTGGTGTTGCCGAACGGCCCCAAAATTGCGTGCCCTGTTCCACATGTGCTCTTTAATAATCGATGTTATCGAGGAAGCACTGCTATTTCGCCGCAACAGGGTTAAGATATAACCCTGTCGGAATGCTCTTGATACCGCACCCACCATTTCGACCCTTGTTGACTAAGGAGCTCTCTCATGAGATCGTCCTCGCCAAGACACCCCAGTTGTGAAAATGAAGTGAGCGAATCGATTTTTGCTGCTCCATGGTTTCGTCGTCGGAGGCCCCGTTGCATAGCGTTATACACCCTTATATACTGTAAGAAAACAGTCAACTACAATATTTTGAAAAAATATATATCCTTGTCCCATCCGAGTGAGTATATTGTTGTCTCGGAAAAATGTTTCATAGCTCTCGGATTTTAAATATAGTAGTCGTGTAGGAGCCGAATGTGGGTCTATCGGCATGTGTATTCTTCTCATTGTCGATAGCCAAAGTTATCATTTTTGGTCAACCAGGCAACGGCAGCTAGTTCGTCTGTCTGGCTGGTTGAACGTTTACCGCTTCGCTTGAGAATTGACGGGGGCTCACGTACATACAGCTTTTGAAACGCCTCTGTCTTTTTGAGCAATTTCGCGAGAGCACCCGTGACACGTGGCATTTGAGTAGCTCCTATTTTCTCAGGTAGATTTTGTGGAAACTAGCTTAATGACTTTTTTGCGACTTTATACGTACGTCATATTATTTATTTTGGAGCCGTATTGCGACATGGTTGTTCTTTTTCGAAGGGTGCTTAGCGTTATTAACATCCACTGTCATTTGTAAGCATAAGATTGGGGCTTCGTATGTTTTTGACAGTTTTAAAGCTACATAGATTAAATATGTCCAGAAAAAAATATACAGCAAATTTTGATGAAATTTCTTTGAAAAAAAAAACGTTTTAAAGCTTTATCGCCATTTTTTATAGCGCTATTTTTGCTGGTAAACAGTCCTGACTCCGCTTCGTTTCAGCATCAAATTATCAAATTTTGGCGAGCAGATTTAAGTGTACAGCAATACCTGTCTTTTCATCCACTGTTTCATTGATACAGTGCAATTTTTTATCTGTTTCATTGATGCTTCACTCAAGGCTCTCGCCATTTTTATTCAAGGTTCTTGAAGCCGTTTGATAGAATTTTTTAGCCTAGGCCAAATATTCTTTCCAAGACGTTTGAATGAAAACAGGCTTCTAGGTACTGCTGCATACATCTAAAAACAAAAAATAATTTCGTATGTTTCTCCTCCAACTGAACCTGAAAGTCAGAACAAATTTTGCTGTGGATGCAGATTTGGTGTTTCTTCTTTCTGTGTTGGTTCGTGTAAATTGTTTATCCGATTTGAAGGTTAATTTTATTCCATCAATTTTTCTCGTATTTCTAAGTTAGCTTAACGGGGAGGAATAAGTTTCCGAGCAATATCTGCTTTGTAACGTTTCAGTGAAAAATGATATTGGAAAAACTTTAGGTAATATTTCTGCTCAATTCGGGTTTTTATTTTTCGGAAGAGTACTTCTTGCCTCGCTTAATTTTGGACTTGTGCTACCATATTTCCTCTGACAGCTACAAATCGTGATTGTGCATAAAACTTCTCTTTGCCTATAAGTCTCGAAAAGTTTCTGAGTGAATAAAAAATGTGAAAACGAAAAAAAAACACTTAATTTTGGTACCTTTAGAAAAGTTTTTGTTAGCTTGTTCAACTAGGCAAACTATGTTGAGTTTCACTTCAACTCGGGTTCACTCCTTGTAGGTGTTGAGAGCTCAATACAGATTTGTCAGGTAGTGCCATTATCAAATGGTAGTTTTCTTGAGTCCTTTCTTTTTGCAAAATAAGTATGAATAAACATAATTTTTTCTCTCCAACAAATTGTTGACAATACAATGAAGAATCATATCAAACATACTAAGGGCAGACTGTAAAGTGGACATTAGTCCCGTTTTCTGTCCTCTCCGAGTCTCTTTTCATAAAGTAAGGTGCTAGTAAAATCTTGCTGTAATTTTTGTTGAATTTTCTTACTTTGAAATGATTTGGAGAAATAAATTTCTCTTTTCTTTCTTGTCGCAATATTGAAAATCGGCACCAAAAAAAATTGCACAAAAATTGGAACAAAATAGGATTGAAGCAGATTTCGTGGAAGTGTTGGAAAGTTATTACCTGATTTGGAAACCTACTTTGTTTTGTACAATTATTGTCCAGTCTCGTTTTTGATTTTGGAACCTGAGTGTAAATAATAATTGATGGTAGAACCCTTGTTGACATATTGAACTGCCAACCAGGTTTCGCTCAATTTCTACTCTTGAAGACAAATTTCGAACATAAACATCACATGCTATGCTGTTAGTCTACTTTCTATGTTTTCTCTACCAAAGACTAATGTTTTAACAAAACGTTTCAATGTGATGTTTGAATCATGACTTAAGTTTCTCGAATCAACGTCAAGTTATGGGTTCTAATTAGGATTAGTTATTTTATTTAAATAACTTTTTTATTACTTTATTTGTGCTAACTCTTTACTTAGTTAGCAGTTTATTGTGTCAGAAGCTCCTGCTCAATTACTACTGTAAATTGAAATCAGTTTCATGATTTTTTTGGAAAATGAATTCTGATCCCCTTTCTGGTCTCATAAATTTTGGTGAAGAAGGGGATTCGATCGGTGCGCCTACACAACGAAGACGAAGCCGCGCTAACAGTTTCAGAATTCTAATCGAAGATGAACCTAATCAGGCAGAGAATGAAAGTAGCGGAATAAACATTGACCAGTGGTCTCTTTTAGGTGCAGAAAATGTTGACGACATCCAAAAAGAAAATGTCGACGACTTGAGTAAAGAAAATGTGGCTGAATTACATAATGTCGAAATATATGATGACGTAACTATATCGTCATTGGATACGTACAGTTTACCAAGTAATGCAGACGACGATGATGTATCAATAAGTTCGTTGAGCACGAGTAGTTACGACAACAATTCAATTTCATCCAGCTTGACGTCTCTGAATAGCGACCACCAAAGGCATACGTTACAAGATATTCCTGTGATAAGGCATACGACAATTGTTGCTTCCGAATCAAACAATCATGTGAGGGGGGATTCGGTGACGAGTGAATTGGAGACGAGGGTAAATATGGAGGGGGTTGTCATTCCTGGCAATGGGGCGGGGGATGAGACGCCGGAAACAGTGACTCTGTTCCAGTCTGAAGTTTGGGAGATGGAGAGTTACCAGATCGAAAATATGGTGAGACTTGAAAAAGTTCAAATATTTCGAAATTATATAAGATGCTTAAGAGGATTACGTCAACTTTTCCTCAAATATGTAGTAAACGAAAGGCCAGTGAACAAATATAGACATCACTGCGTTGAATTATAGACAACCACTAAAGGTCTGCCTAAACCACACATAATTTGATGTGTCATTCAGGCGGACCTTTATGCAAGGTGATGTTTATATTTTATTATAACACTGTTTTTAGAGTTACCCTTTTTGAATTTTTGACAATGATTTTTACTCCTCAGCCACACAAATTTTTCAAAAATTGCCCAAAAACGGCTTTTTTGACTGTTTTTTCAAAAATTTGCCTGCGGCGCACAAAATTTAGCCAAAGTAGGGGCAAAACAGTGCTTTGGGAGAGCTCGAAAAATCAATTTGGTCGACCTAAAAAAAAAAAAGTCGTCAAAATTTTGGAAAATTTTTTGAAAATCCGCCCCCCCTCGAGAAAATCCTAGATCCGCCCCTGCACACAATGCTTTTAAACATTTTTCTTCATTGATATCTTTCTAAGACTTTAATTTGCAGTCTTACTTAAACTTGTTGTTGGTTTTTTATTCTGTATAGTATGAGCAATGATATCTCAATTTGTATTAATTAATAATTCGTTGGCAGACGCCAAGTACATAACTTTGGATTTTACTTAGCGTATAAGGAAATAAGTGACTTACTCAATTTCAAAAAGATGACTTACTCCTTATACCTGAATTGGCAGTCGGAAAATTCAGAAATTTGCCGTAATATACGAGCAGTCTTGTCGAGTTGTTTTCCATTTCTATTTGAGCAGGAAATAAACAATGTGAACTTGTTGTATGACAAATGACCGCGTGAAAACGATTTCCACTTTTCAAGTGGTATCGATCGGTGTCTGTATTTTTGTATATCGCATAGCCGTCGATATTATTTTTTGTCGCATGCAATTTCGTTTGTAGATTCGCTGAATGCAAAATCTGACCAGAAGCAAGAATAAACGTTTCTCAGGTGATACGCTAACGTTTTTTTTAGCTTGTAAGGTTTCTGTGCCAAATTTTCCTTGATAACTTTGACGAAGGAAATTGAACATAACGAAACGACTGGTGGCATCCCTCATGCTGGAGGCACCGAATGCTTGAAATTTATTTTGGCCTATTTTCAGCCAATCAAAATTGAGTATTCAAAAATCTTATGGAAATCGCAAAATCTCAAAGTAAGCAAATAAAACCAGGCCATTAGTGTTCGTATTGACCGATTATATAGCAAGCAGATGAATAAAATTAATGCCGGATCGAAGGCGGGTTGGAACAATTTTAATATTTATAGGATATCGATTTACGAAAAATGGAAAAACAAAACAACATCAATTATACCTGCACCTTTTATATCTGCATCTAGTACATTATCATTTTCTGTTAATATTGACTTCGAGTTTGTGAGAAAAAAAATTAGTCAATAAGAACGGTTAGCAATTTTGATTGGTTGAAATTTTTCCAGCATTCAGTCCCTCCAGCATGAGAATCCTCCCGAAGCGACTTAAGGAAAAGCCTTTTTCTGGGTTACCGCTCGACTATCATAAAGCTCGTGTACAACAAACTTTTTAGTCAACCAGCATAATTGCCAACTACGATAATTTTGATTGCTTGATTTCTCAGAAAAACGATACAACAACACTCTGTTCAAAAGGAAGCTTGCCTTTTTTTGGAAATAGAAAATTGAGCAATCAATTAGCAAAGGAAAATCCTAACCATATAAGAAGCGATCATTCACACCCCGACCTGCAATTGGGCAAACCGAGCACATCGCTGCGCAATTTATTGTTTCTGTGTAATTTAATTCGTTTATTTCGTTCAAAATCAAATTTGTCAAAACCAAAAATAGTGTTTTGTGTGTACATTTTTGCTAGTAGGTTTGATTTTCTATTTTTGAAGTTATCATGCGCGTCGAGTTTTATGCTAGTCGATGAGCCGATTTATTCTAGTCGATACGCCGCCCGTGTTCATTATCTGGTACTTTTTGTTTGGTCCCTCAAAATTGCTGTGGTCCCTAATAGAAACATTTTGCCAGAGAATGTGCTCGTTATGTGGGTTAATTTTCTCAGAAGCTTTTTAAATTCTCTTTCTTAGGAATTGATCAGATGCGGTTTTTCTAGTGGATATGCATGCGGTTGCCAACACCAAGGCGTAGGATGGAATCCCATACCGACTTTTGTTTTTAGGAAATAGGCGGGACCAATCATATAAACTAGTTTTGACACGGGACCAAACAATTAAACTAGTACCCATGATCTTATGAAAACAATTAAGGAGTGTTACGACTAGCATGTAAGTTTCAAAAATTAAAATCTTTTTGTTAAGCTTCTTAAATCTCAACACAAAACTCAAGTTTTGTCTAAATCAAAATTGTGATACACAAAAAAATGATATAAATTAATTTTTTTTTCACACAATCAGAAATAAGAGAAAACAGGTGCCTAAACTTCACGAAAATTACATTAAATTCAAAAGACATTTTTTTTGCCATTCCACTCAATACTAAAACCTAGGGCTGTCTTTATGTATTGTTTGAATACTCACAGGATGTACTTGTTTAACAGCATATCAGAAACAACAGTCATTTGGGTGGAAAATGTGTCTTAATATTTTTCAAAATGGGAAAATTTTGAGCTCTCTCCATGTATTGCAGGCCATCAGTCATTGTTCTTTCAACACAAGAGCTGCCTCTGGAGACTTTAAAGCAGTAGACGATGGATGGATTCTTTTGGTCAGAAAAAGAACATCGCTATACGCAGGGTAAATACTTATTGAAATTTACCCTATTTTAATTATTTACCCTGTAAATAATAGTAGGGTACATAATAAAGCCACATCTCGAAAAAACAATTTTCGGTGAGTTCAAGAAACGGGTCCGAATCAGTGATTGAATCTGAACTATTAAAATGCTGAAAGTCGGGCGACGGTGAAGTTGATTGAAGAAGGGCGAAATCTTTTATATTTCTGTTTGATTATTTGGTCTTCACTCATTTCATTGGCTGCCATTTTAACAACTTGAAAAAAAATCAGATTTTGGCCTCCATCTACAAATTCACTTGTTTTCTATCTATTAGACATGCGCTTATTTCAACTGTTTGCTAAAAACGCAACACCTTTGAGCTGTCTACATTATTACGCTCTAAGCCATCTTAGGAGCATCATTGTTAATTTTTGTCCAATGAAGAAGTCATCTGTACGAACAGTGAATTGTCGAAAAGTAAAATCTTGAGGTTAAATTTATTTTTAAAATTGCGAACTCGAAAAACTCTCCTCGAGAAAAATAGTTTGTTCTGATTATTACTTAAGAATAACTTTTTATTTGGTGGATCATTGTTGATTACTTAGTAAAAGAGAAATTGAACCATTACTTTGTCTGCTTCATTGATCGTCGGTTGGGTGCCTGGCCTTCCAACATCACTCAATTGCTCTCTTTAATCTCTTCTTCAAATCTAATTGAGAAGAGACCCTAAATCCTCCTTTGTAAATCCGAGGGGAACTGGGTTTCTTTTTGTTTGTTCATCTTCAACTTGTCTTTCAGGCTATTCCTGTTTGATGCACAGTTGGTGTTACACTCAGCAATTCCTCTGGAGACTCAGACTATCATCAACTGTGACGAAGGTATGCTTCAAATTAGTCACTTTGATTTAAATATAAGTTTGTTTGTTTGTTTTTGAGACTTACGAGTTTATAGAAGACGATACTCATGAGAGCCACAGACTCTCATACATGAAGAAGAAATAGTTCTGTATTTTGGACAAATTCAAATGTCAGTTATGGCGATTTTATGCTAAATAGCATTCATATATATAATATATAGATGTTTTCTTGACACTAAAGAATGTGTTTTTCTAAAAGCTGTTTATGAATTTACATTATTGACTCAAATGCTGATTTTTTTTAACGAAAATCCTTTTTTGAAGCCGAATTATAAAATATGTTTGCTATGTCAAATAAGTCACTTTTCGAATTGAGATTTTGTAGGTTTCTTGTTGAACAGCACATATATTGTTTGTTTTAGACTTGATCGGAACTGGACATCGGAAAGTAACCATATGCTATCACAATCTGGTAAACTTATTTTTAACCAATGCTTAATTATTTTTTTAACCAAATGCAAAACATTTCTGAAAGAATTAATCATGCATATTTAATGATGTGGTAGCTACTTTTGACAACTGAGTGTCGCAAGAATGACTCATTATATTGTATTTTATGTCCGGAATTTTAAAAAATCCGTTCATTTTAACAATCATCGAATTTATATCCTTACTTTAGTTGAAAAAAGTTCGAATCGAACTACTCTGATTTAGTCTATAGTTAGAGTTGAATTTGTTGCGTTGCGATTCAGGAAAGTTCGCGGATTGCGAGTGAGAGTGGCCTTGACTATGGATACTCCTCCTCCTCTGCCTGTAAAGCGGAGGTCATCCTCAGTGACAAGTACAAAGACATGGAACAGGACTTGTTTACGGCTCTAGAACAAATTCTGCAATTATACTCTGGTAAAGATTCCAAAATCAAACATTAAGTTGAAAAAATGACTCCGCTGAAAAAAAGAAAAAAAAACCAATTGAATTCTCTCTATATTTATTTTGTTTTTATCAAATCAAAACCCAAAAACGAACAAGGATAGTCGGTTAATGTGCAAATAGCACACAATGTTCCGAACATGGTCTTAAAAAATACTGCAAAAAGTTTTTTTTCAAATTAGTGTAGTTTTTTTCGGGGTGGTGTGATGCGTGATAAGGAGCAGAAAAACTAGAGATTAGGCATATTCGACATTCATATTAAAATAAGCAAATTGAAAAAAAAAACAATTTTGCAGAATAATAACTGGAAAACGTTAAAAAAATCAATTTTTTTTTTTTCAATTTTGCAGTGTTTCGTTGGAAAAAATTAATTGAGAAATTTCAGAAAAAAATCACAAAAAACCGTCATATCTCTAAAACTAAGAGACTGTGGGCCGTCATATTTTCCCACATAATTCGCAACCCACAGTTATTAACTCTGTAGCATTTACCAATGTCAGTGCAATTCCTTGTATTTAAAAATTAAAAACTAGAGTTGCCAGCTCGTTGTTACTTAACAGGTATCCATTTTTAAATTTATGATAAAAATTTCTAATTTTTGTTGTTTGCTTTTTCTAATCCTTCTTCGAGTAAGCCCCTTGTCTTAAGCAGATTGAAAAGTCTAGATCCCTGGTAGATTACTGATTGCCTTTCAAAACGTTTTTTCCTAATTGTTTCTTTCAGTAGGTTTAATTTACCCCTACGAGTTTCTCATAGTGGGTTTTCAAAACTGAATAACTTATTCAATAAATCTTCACTGTGAAGATTGTTTATCGATCATAGTAGGGATTTCAGTAACTCGTAGACATGAAGCTCGTGCACTGTTTAGCAACTGATTTTTCACGAAAATGTCTTCTGAGTGGTCACCACGTTTCTAAAATATATATTTCAGTATCTTTTTCTGAAGCATAAAAATTGACAGCAAGGAGGAAAAAAACTACAACAACCTTATACAAGAATGCCATACTGGATAGTTGTTTTGATGTTACTACGAGCGACTGTACGGGCTTTAATATAATGTATCATTCAACTCTCTCCGATGATTATTTGTGGTAGCTGATTTTGCGTGGAAAACAAAAAAAGAAGAAAGTAAAACACACCCGAATACAAACCTCCTCTCCATTTTTCAAATGTTCTGAACAAAAATGAAATGCCGCCAAATCTACTATTTTATTTTCAAAAACAACGCTTCAAAAAATTACTCTTCGAGTCACCGATGTCATGTTATCACAAAATTGTTCTTATAACGTAATGGTAGCTGAGTAGCATGATGTGCGGAGCGATTAAAATTGAAGTGGTGCGTAGAGTTAATTGATTCAACCTGCGTTTATTTTACATTATTGGTAAGTAAATGTAACGCAATAAACAGAAAACGCTAACAACATTGCAGATAAAAAAATTATTGGCAGAAAAAGGTAGTCGAAGTGGCCTTATAAAGAAAAACGTCTTTATTTAAGCGGAAATGGTAGAAGGAATTGTCATTATGCTTTGAATTTTTCACTTTGAAAATACCACAACATTTTCTCTAAATTGCTTACTTTGAAAGTTTCCGTTTGATATTCTTTTTGGCCTATAATTCTCATTAAAAGTTAATACTTTTCAATCTGTAGTTGCATTTTGTAATATTTGTCGCTTCGTATGAAAGTTACATATGGCGATTCTAGAGGTCTGCTAATGCTGATTTAGTACTACTTTTTTCACTATTGATTACAAGCTTAGTTTTCTTTTTTCAATTTGAGATGACCCATGAGTATATCAAATTATCTCAGTGTCTTTAGTGTGTAATTTGATGCTGATTTATGCTTTGGTCACAAATTGAGTTTCCATTTTCAGCAAAAACAGCCCCCGATATAATAATGTCATCAGACTGGCATTCAAAAAACCGCAGTTGGGTCGAGCAGTTTACAACCAAAGCTCAAAATATTCAATCAAAATTGATCCCACAGTCCCAAAGCGCCATGAGTGAAAATTCAGCCCAAGGCCGCTCCGAAACTGACGGTCAAGTGCCTAGCGTGGTGTTGCGGCCCACCAGTCCTGGTTATGAATCACAGCCTGGAAGGAGGTTCACGTTTAACGAAACTCCGAGAAGAAAAGAGGAAGGAGCTTTGTTCGCGCCCGATCTTACACGAAGACCCACTACCAGTTAGTTATGCTTTTTTTCATTTTCATGTTTTAAGCGATTTTTTCAATATTACGAAATGAAGGTCTGTTCATTCAAGGCAAATTACAAAGTAACCGGGTATCTTTGCCTCTAGCTGGTTCAATGTTGTCATCATATAGTGAATGATGGTTTGTTTCAGATTTAGTCTCATCTCACAGCAGGTGAGTTATCTTCGCTGTACTCTTTTTGCGAGCGAAAAAATAAATAAGAGAGTTGGTCAAAAATGACGCTTAAGTATGATCTAATTTATTTATAATATATCGATTTGAAACTGTCACGATTTGAAAACGAAAAGTTAGATAAAGGAAAGAGAAATTAATACTAGTTTTTTTTGCCTTTTTTTGTGTATTTTAAGCTATGAAACATTTCAGGCCAACTTCTCCAAATCGCCGCCCCAAAATCTTCAGAGAGCCTGAAGTGCAAAAATACGTCGAGTTCAGAAGACTCAAGTAAGTTTAAGATCCATGGGCTAAATTTCAAGGAAATAAAATTTGACTATTCTCAGTGATTTGACAATGTAACATGACTGTTTATTGCAGGGTATTTGTCACAACATTCAACGTCAACATGCAAACATCCGGAGACGAGAACGTGCCTCCAGTAATGGGACTCCGTCAAGTAGTCAAAGACTGGCTCCAAGTTGACCAAATGTCCAGAGATCCCCAGGACATCATGGTCATCTGTCTGCAGGAATGTGGAGGCCTCAATAGAGCTAAAAACTTCTTCTCCAGTCAAGACGCAAAGATCCAAAACGACTGGAAACGTGCAATCTCAGAAGTCTTGCGGCCTTTGAAACTAGAATGCTTTAATGAAAACAACGTCGGATGTACTTACATGTTGGTCTACGTTAGTAGCTCATATATTAAAGACGTTTCATTGCATCACAAAGCGGACTTGCCTTTGGGATCCGGAGGCTGGACAGCGAATAAGGGAGCTACTCTAATTCAGATAGGAATCCAGTCAAGTGCGCAGATTTTTTCATTTGTGGGCGTCCATCTAGCTGCACATGATAATGCCCGGGAAGCGAGGATGAAACAGATTGACAGGATATGCGACGAGTTTCAAGATCTACTTTCAAGAAGCAGGTTAGTTACTTGTATTATTTTCAACCCTTATTTTTTCGAAGGTATTCATTTTGAACCCTGAACTTTGCAGTGTTTTCGAAAGTATTCAATTTGAACCCTGATTTTTTCGAAGGTATTCATTTTGAACCCTGAACTTTGCATTATTTTCGAAAGTATTCAATTTGAACCCTGATTTTTTCAAAGGTATTCATTTTGAACCCTAATTTTCCCCTAAGTTCTACTGCACGTTTTGTATTTTTGTTTTCAATTCATCGCTCTCAAACTATGCCTAGAGACAGCATATGACCTTTTCCAGTTTCCGTTAAGCTCAATGTCATCTTCTTTGTTCATTAATGAAATGCTGAATGTTTAAAGCTTCAGCATTTCCGCTTAAAGCTGAATGTTTAAAGATAGATGTCTGAATGTTTAAAGCTTCGTGTTCTGGATGGGCGACTTCAACTTCAGGACTGCCACCAGTGACCCTATCATCACTGAGTTTGACTTCCTCCTCCTCAAGAACAAAAAGAACGAACAGTTCTCCGACTATCGATCCAAGGACGAAGTTAGTATCCAGATATTTTTTTGCTTCTTTTGGTGGAATTCTTGATCTAACGCACCAAGAAGATTGTAATATTATTAAGAGTAATGAACGTAGTGAAGACTCTTAAATAGGTCTTAGTGTGTTTTTTCAGTTTTTTTTTTAAATTTGTTCAAGCTTAATTTTGACTTTTCGCGGTTTGACTTCCATCAACTCAGTGCATTTCCATTGTTAAAAGGAAGGCAAACTCCTCTATCGGACAGGAAAAGTGTAAAGGTCTGTTTCTTTGAGTTCATTTCTCTTTTCCAACTGTCAGTTGGCAATGTTAATTTCTTATGAAATCATAGCATCATGGAAAAGGGGTTTAGTTCAAACAAAAGTGTTCTTTATAGAGAGGCGCAATGCATTTTAACGTACCTAAACTAATTTTTGGCTTAGAAATTTTCGCAAGTTTCAAACATTCAAAGTTTTTTCGCAATGTGAAGCAATGACTGATATTTTGGTTATAGTAACGGAGTATTGCGACCAATTGATTTGCCTCAATTAATTTTGGAATGACTTCTCTGTCGAATTTGTTCACAGCCGCCTTTTAAATACCGTTTGTATTCGAAATTTATTTTTGATGCTGATTGTGAGTTCAGTAACACCGATTTGGGTTTTCAGTTATTTCATTTTTTTAAACACGCGTGCTAGCGAGAACAGTGTTATACGCGAATCCACGTTTTTCTACATCAAATCACATAAATTAGTGCTCAATTTACTGACACGTTTTCTGCAAGCTTAGCATAGCAGCTTAATAGCATGTGTTCTATCTATCCAACTTATTGATTGCTAGTGTTGAAAGTTTCGAGTGGAAGTGGCTGAGTGGCGTGGACCTTAGACTATTAGTCTGAAGGTCTGCAGTTTGATTCTCCTAATGTTTTTATTTTATTGCAGCTAATCTTCAAACTTTTTGGCCGTTTCGTCGCTTGTGTTTGTGAAGTGTAGCTTCGCATCTGTGTATTTTTTTTGCTTCTTTTGGTGTCAAAGGTTTTGGCTTATAGTTTGTCGTCTTATTCTACTCACTTTGAGTCGTTTAATGGCATAAGTGGCTTCTGCGTGTTGAAGAGCCTTAGTATTTTGAGTCTCAAATGTTTGATAGCTAAGATTTTTATGGCAACTCTTTTGTTTTGGCGCAAATAGTGTCTGATCAAGTTTAATCGGGATAGTTAACGGCTTCGTAAATTTTGTTTTGATGCTAATTTAACAGATGCAGGTTACCTAATTGTCATGGTTTCCTCAATGAGTTCATGCAAATTGAAACCAACGTATGCAGTAGTGGATTTAGGGTGGGTTGGGGCGGACTTCAACTTCTATGTTATTAGACCCTCTGCCGACCCAAAGGTTTCCCTCTTTGTACTATTTTGAAATATTATTTCAAGCCCGAGTGGTCCTAAAATGTTTCTAAAGGCGCCTTTTGCGCCAATATTATTTAATTTTGAGGAAGGAACGCGCGATTTTCTTAGATCGACCAAATTAATTTTCTGAGCTCTCCGAAATCACTATAAAGACCCTATTTCAAGAACTATAAAGACCCCCTCGAGAAAATCCTAGATCCGCCCCTGCCTATTTGCATCAAATTTTTTGCGCAACAAGCAAAATTGTGAAAAAAAACGAAATTAAAAAACTTTCAATAACTTGTTTTTGTTCTACAATTTTCCAACTGTCTGTTGGCTATGTTATTTGTTGATCATTTTGCTGCATAAAATTGACTGTTTAATAGAATCTGTGTATAGTATGATGTATTGTTGGCTAGAGGTATTATATCTCCAAGCTGCCGTGGCGGGGGGGGGGGTTGAGTCCGGCACATGACAAAAGTTTTTTATATTTCCTTTTTTTATCTGTACTTCCCTTTCTTTACAAGAGCATAGCGTTAGATGATCCTTAAAAACAGTTAGAGCTTATTTTGGCCGTTTTTTGCGACTGTGTGTAAATATCTTTAATTAAGTTACATTCTGTTTTTACTATAGTGGAAGCAATGGAGGCTAGATCCAGAAGCGGAAAAGAACTTCTTCTACAACATGAGTGAGTCACACATCACTTTTGCCCCCTCCTACAAATTCCAAGCAAATGAAACATCCTCAACCGACCTCTCAACGGGCCTGGAGATCCTGCCATACGTCACAACACACAGACCTTCGTGGTGTGATAGAATATTCTACTATGCGAAAGAGGGATATAATTCGGACTCCAGGCCGCTCCAGGTGACCAAGTATGACTGCGAGTTCAAGTGTGTCCTGTCCGATCACAAGCCAGTCTTCGCTACCGTCTTAGCAGAGGTCAGTTCCAGGTTCATTTTGAACCCCCGTCGGGAATTTTTTGGACAGGATTTCTCCGATTGCTTACTTGATTTTAGACACCTTCAAAAATTACCGTTCAATGAGGCCCAGAGTGGAGAGGAGACTAGATCGCTGATCTCCATTCGCATTTAGTCAACTGATGAAAGTTAAAAATGAAATAAAAAGCTTTTCGAAAAATGCATCCAAAATTGAGTGAGCGTGACTAAGCGATTTGAGCGTGATGTGGCCTAATGTTTTAACTGATAATCTAATTGATGCTTTTCAAGCTTAGATTTTGCGACAGATTGTTGATTTTATTTTATTATTATTGATGAGATTTCGTTATAGATTGAGTATCTAAATCTGGAGAAGAAGTCGAAGGAATTGAGGGAGACAGAGATCCACTTCAACTCCATCCGACCAGGTGCAGACCTGGACCAGGCACTACACAACATTGTAAGTAACTAAGATCGGTAACACAGACAGTTCGCGTTTATAGACACTCTGTGTCCGAAATTTCGAATATCATCGAAACTTTATTTATATTAAGACAGCATGTGAAGTTAGTAATCCGCAATACAGTTCAAATGCTGATAAATTTTCCGTTACGAGCATATGGGTATGAAATCGGCTATCAGTTTGGTCTGCTGATTCAACGGATTCCATTTTACATGTTAAAAGGCTTGTCTGGATTTCAATAACATGCTATTACATTTTTGTACGTCGAAGTATTCCACAGTTTAGCTTCCTAATGAAGAATATTTTCAAAATGTTGCCCTTTTTAGCCGAATGAGGTGGAATGCTTCAAGATGCAGAGAACATACCAGATAGACAGTCACCTCACTCTCAAAGATGACGTAGTAAGTGGTCGTTCTGTAAACATTTTGGCCCATTTCCAACCCCCCCCCCCCCGTCCTCCTCTTGATGTTCTTAACTAAAAAGGTTTCAGCGTGACCATGTGAACAAATTTCTACATTTATTGCATGCAAATTGCCGTGTGAACAAATTTTGAACAACTTTATGCTGTAATTTTTACGAAGGTGGGTAGGAAACTGGAAAAGCGTCCAAACTTTCTAAGTAATTGTTAAGTTACTTTTTATGATACCTGGAGTTGGAACTCCCGCATTTGCGCTTGGGTATTATATGGACTTGTCAGATGTTTTATCAGACTTTTTGTGTTGTTTCAGATAGACGTGGTGTTTCTGTTCCGCTGTTCGTGCGGAGACAGCTGCCGCTTCTACGACATGCAGTTTGGGGCCAAGGACATCAAGGAGGACAGGGAACTGATAGAACACGTGAGGACCCACAACTCACCAGTCTCATTCGTCAAGGTCAACCAACACTACGGCAGAATCACACGAGGTAAAATAGAATGTTGTTTTCTTTGCCTTCAATACAATTGAGCCGTTACCAAACTACTCAGAAAATCAAGATGGTCGACCTACAAGAACCGCCCTGATACTACTGTTGTGGTTATTTCAAATTTTGCTTTTACTTTAGATAAAAAAAGCTTTTTCATATACCCGCGTTATCATGATTCGTGATTTCTTGTGAACCAAGAGTATTTTCATTGTGCACAGGCGAAGAGTAATGTATTATTAGGAAGAATTTTCTAAAAATCGAAGCGTAGTGTAATATTACGAAGATTTTGTTTCAACCTAAGTCGCAAATAAAACTGCTCATTTGGTGGCTCTTTTGGTATATTTCAAGTTATTCATATTTAGGCCTATTTAATCTAATCGTTGGCAATTTAAAAGCATCTTTTGCTGCTTTATTTTTGGCTAGTGTTAGGCACTGTTTGACAAAAAGATATTTTGAAAATGTATGTTTTTTTTATTAGGGGTATTCCCTAAATTTGGTAGAAAAAGTTATGGCCTCAAACCACCCCATTTTTTGACATCGCCACTGCCTACCCTGCCAAATCGGAGATTAAGGGTTACATCGAAAGAAAACAATCAGTTATGCGAATGCTCCCTGTGCAAGTGGTTATGCCCTATGTTTTTTAAAAAAAATGGCCTTAGAAAATGTCCAACTTTTGAAATTAGCCCGTTTTTTAGAAACTTCTTTTTTTATCTTTAAAAAATAATCTGTTGATTCTGAGGTTGATACTTCATTTAAACTAACGTGGTGCTTAGATTTTCCCTGCGCAATCATTTTCATGCTTTGTATTTGAAAAGCTGATATGGACTTTGGAAAAATCCATTTGAAATTTTCGTAGTTTTTTTTGAAATTTCATCACCTTTCTCGAAAACTACTAACTAAATCTGATGTCAGGGCTTTCACTCTAAAAATCAGGGTCGGGACGTCTTCTCTGCATAAGAGGCTATTCCCAAGCTATATTAGAGAAAAGTTTATGGATTCGGGAAAAGTCAAGTTTTCGATCGTTTTTTGGAATCTTTTTTTTTCCGAGAACTACCTAGTCAAATCTGAGATAGTCTTCAATTGGAAGAGCGAATAGTAGTTTTATCCTTTGAATAAGTGACCTATCTCTTACTTTAGCAGAGAAATTATATGGGTTTTGCGTAAATAGATGCGAGGACGTGGTACTCTAATCAACAGGTCGAAACTTCAAATCCGGAACATTGAAATAGTTTTTTTTGGTCGAATTTTTGCTGCGTAGCATTGCAATTTATTTTTTCTTGCGATAAGCAAGGGTACTACAATCGGGTAGTAGACTTTTTTCCGTAAATAACTTTTTTCACAGAATGGTCAATTTTGTAGGAATGGTATATTTCAAGACTTGCTCAGTTTGTTGAAAATTCATATAGAACCGAAAATTCATTTAGGTAGGGATTTGGTGGATTTCGTTTTATGCAGTAGTTTTTTTTTTCAAAAAATCTTAAAAAAATGTCGATTTTTTTCGGATTCGTGGTTTTCGACCCAGTTTTTGTCGGCTGTACTGTGTCATTTTGTCAAGTCGGAGTTTGAAGTTTTTTGTTTCAATTATACGTTTTCGGCTTATGTTTTATTGGCTTAGTCCATTTATATTGCGTAGTGACATTCAATTCTTATACTTTTTTTTATCTTTTTTTAAAAAAATTTCTGCGGCTCTCATCTCTATTTCTTTTGATTAGTTTCTCATGCTATGCATGTGTTATATCGCCAATAGTGCCACGTTTCGCTTCGCCTCTGAAGGTGCAGGTATTTGAGTGCGAAGATTTTATTTGTTATTTTTTTTGGGATTTTGATTGCTTTTTGAGAAAGTGTTTTTTTGGGCTCATCTACAAGTAGTGATAGCCATTCAGTTTTGTATCGCAAATGATGCGGAGCTATGCTTCGCCTCTGTGTGATTACCTTGAACACCTTAAGAGCGTAAACCCGTTTTAAAATAGTTCTTCACAGCAAGTTAGTGAAATGCATAGGATGGTGTGTTTTTAGGTTGCAATACGAGTATTGGTTTCGACCTGCAGATTACAGAACGAAACATACACGAGTTGTACAAACTACACAAAAGGCCTTTTGCGAAGCTAGTGTCTGCCTCTAAGAGTGGGACCAAGTTCGAACAGCTACAGATTGACCTCATCTTCTGCCAGTATAGAGTCAACGACCACACCAAGGAATGGTTCAAAGGTCTGTGTATTTGAAGATTGAAAATTATTTCCCTGGTTCATTAAATACCCTAAAAAGATGCTTGCTTGTTATTGACGGACGAATTGGTCTCAAGTTGCGTTGTCCTTTTTAAAAACACTCGGCAACCGTTTATTCTCAGTTGAAAAGGCCCAATTTTGAAACATGTGGCATGCCTTTTTTTCTATATTAACTTTTTCGTTAATTACCTTTTCGATAAGCAAGGGTATTGCAACCGGGTACTAGACTTTTTCCCGTAAATAACTTTGGCCACAGAATGGTCAATTTAGAAATGCTAAATTTCAAGACATGCTCAATTTGTTGAAAATTCAAATAAAGTACCTCATCTAGGTAGTTAAATTGATAGGTGGAGTACGTTTGAATTGTTTTTTTTTCAAATAAATTTATTGAAAAAGTGTTGATATTTTTCGGATTCGTGGTTATCGGCCTGGTTTCCGTCGCTTCTTTTTTCGTTTTTTTTCCGCTTAATATCATTTTAATTATCTGGTACTCATTTGTATCAAGCTAATCTGTAAAGCATGGATTTTGTTTTAATTGTCTTTTTTTATCTATATTTACACAAGCATACATAGCTTGTGTTATAGTATGAATTTTCTTTTTTTTCCAACCTAAGTCGCAAATATTAATGCGATGCAAATGTTGCGACAAAATGTGTGTCGCAACAATTTTGATCTAGCTAGTAAGTTCAGCCAATGCTATGGATATTAACATAGACTATTATATTAGAAATAGCACTTTAGCTTCAAGGTATCATGGTTCTGTAGCGTAGAGGAAGGGAAGGAGACCAGCAGCAAAAAAAGAGGTTTCGAACCTGGGCAGGGTCGGATTTTTTAATTAACTTTTTCGTATACTAATTAAAATGCGTCAGCCTTAGAAATAGAGGCATCTTAGTTCCTAAATTTCTTTTCAAATTGACTGACACTGATAATGCGTCATAATTGGCTTGCGTCACTGAAGAAATTTTTCAGACTCAAAGTTTTACTCATTCAGTTTTTTCCAGTAGTGTTATCGGTCATATTTTTGCTTGTGTATGCGAAGTGCAACTTCGCCTCTGTGTTGTAAGTTGTAATCGTAATTTCACCCCGTCTAAATTTTCTTCTTCTAAAGTCTAAAGTTTTTTTTCGACTAAATGGTTTCGACTGATGTTGCATCGGCTTAGTCAACTTGTATTTTGTAATTTCGACGGCAATAAATTCCTGTTCGACAAAATTAGGTATTATGAAAATGTATGGGATAGGGTTTTTCATTCGTATCTTTTTAAAGCTTTCGAAATTTTTTCACATTTCAAGAAAAACTTAAGTTCAGTAGAAAACTACTCTATCGTATCAATGAAACGAGCGCATTCTCCCCTGTGTGCCTACGTAATACCTTTGTCTTTTTCTTTTACCCTAATGTCTACAGCCTTCGAAAAAGTCTGTGGGGGAATGTTTGACCCATTTTTTTGGATTTTTTCGTCTTAAAAAGTACTAGCCAAAATCTGAGATTTTGGGTTCAACGGAAAGAACGCGTTATGGAAAGCTCACCTGCAAATTAAGCCCATTTTTATCTTAAAAGTTTTGGCCGTCGAAAAGCAACAGAGTGTGTGAATTTCTTCAGCTCAAGCGGCTACGCCCAAATATTTTTACACAAAGGTATGAGTTGCAAAACATTTATTTTTTTTGAGCATTTTTGGAAATTTTTGACTTTTCTCAAAAACTACCCTGCTATTTCTTAGGTTGAATTTTCATGTTCAATCGAGAAACTCGATTTTGGTTATTTTTTTTATTTTTTTTTAAATTTAAGCGGCCGCTACCTTCTCATTGTAGAAAAAAGTGATTTAGTCTTTTTGATTTAAAAACTTAATGAAAATTATGAACGTTATGAAACTTTATCCTATAAAATTCGAGATGAAGGTTTATCGAAAGAACCGAATGCGAGAAATTTTCCGGCGACTCTTTATTTTTGTGAGGAAAATTTGATGTATTACGCATAAGTAAAACAAATTCCAAAAGTATCAAACAGCTACCTCCAAGTTTTACTGGGCCCCTCATTTTCTTGTTTTGAGTATACGAACGTTTTGGTTTCTTTAGTTTTTTTCACATATTTTTTTCGACTTACTTTGTTGTGTAATGTTTGTATTGTATCGCTTGTGGTGCGAAACTCAGCGTCGCCTCTATGTAATAAAATTCGAGCCCATATTCTTAGGCTTATTTGTGTGCAGGTGCTGACAGGTACATAGCAGTGAATCTGAATGTGAAGACATACATGCATGGCCTGTCTCCCACCGCCCTCTGCTTCATAGAGAAGCCACTCTGCCAAACAACCATGGCAGAAGTCAGCGAAATCGTCACACACTCCCAGGCAAGTTATAAGTAACGGGCTATAGTTACGAGCTTTTTTATTGTGAGCGGCTGAGAAATCCCACCTGCAATTAAGAGATAAAGACAAACTCAATATTTACGAATGCTAACGTGCAATTTTTGGTTAACTATTTCATGTCTTAATTTAACTTTTATGGTTTGACGAAGTTGCCAACACCTGTTTGCGGGCATTTGTATTTTTTCAATCAAATTGAATCATGAGTAACTGTTTCGCAAGTATTTGATATGGTCCACGTGTATCTTCAAAGTGAAAGAAGAACTTATGGTTTTAGACTGTGCTGAGACCTGGCAGTGTGATGGCAAGTGCAGGTGCGGATAAAAGTAGTGGCAGACTTTCCACCCTCCCCACATTCCCAGTTCTAGACTGTCCCAAGGAGATAGTGAAGGCACTGGATGCATTAGTGCACTTCATTGACTCAATTCAGAATCAACACCGCAAGATGAAGTTTGTAGTGAGTACTGTTGGTTAATTCTGCTGACGAGGTTCTGGCAGAAAATTTTCATCCAATGGCAAACGTGTTTGTTACTCGGTGTTATCTTCTTTTTGAGTTTGACTGTGTCTTAAAAGGCATTGTAAGGCATTTTCACTCTATGCCTCAACTTCATTTCTAATTTTTTTACTGATTACTTACAATACAATAATATTTTGTATGAGATTTTCATGTCCGATGAACGATCTCGAAGTCCATTGGAATGTCTTGAAATGAAGGGAAATTGATGCTAAATTTTACTTGGCGAATCAATTAGTGCATTTTGAGCGAAGGTTATGCTGGAAGGGTCAAGGGTTAGCTACTCTTGATCCTGTCCGAAACGTAACAATGCCGTTTAAATGAAACCTCAGTTAAAGTCAAGGGCAGTCTAAATTTGCTATTTTGCTTCAGACGAGCTTGTTCGTTGGCAAGAATATAGACCTGTCCGAACCAGCTCCACCTTCTGCTGCTGCAACCCACCTGGCCCTAGACGTCCCAATCTACTCGGATTTCGCCTCAGATGTAGTGGACGACTCAACAGACACTGACTCTGTAGACGGGGTGAGGGAGGTTGTAGTGGGGTCAAAGGGTGACACTGACCCCAAGAGTCAGGAGTACCTGGACGAGGCCATAGATTGGCTGACAGGGGTCACGAATTACAACAAGTCACCATACCAAACAGAGCAAGGTTAGTGTAGTCACTATTAATTTAAATACATTGATCGCATGTTTTCAAGGTTTGCGAACTGATTCTGATTGGATTATGGAAAGACGTCGAATTTCCCATTCCCGAAAATGAAGAAAATATTTCTCTGCGACCAAAATTGTGCGACTATCAATTAAGTCAATCTATTCATAAAATTTGTCAAATTATTGACGCTAGTTCGCAATAATATGGTCTGACCACGAATTTGAAAATATTTTGCTGATATTTGTGTGAGTTTAATGGATTAAAAGACGCGGGGTTATAAGCTTGGGAGCTGAATATTCAATGTTAGTAATGTAAGTTGAAGCCATTTGTTGTGATGCTTTGAGGATGATCCGTTTCAGAGAATGCTAACTTCTTCCTGGGTCTGTCTGCAGCACTGCTACTCTACTTCAAATCCATCGAACACTCTCTATTCGGCAAACGAACACTACCCACCATTCACGAGCAAACTACGCATGTACAGGTATGGTACAGACATTCAGAATTCACTGTGACTCGCTTTCTTTCCTTACTTACAAGGGCGTTATGTTGGTGGATGCGTAACCATTCGGGGGCTATTTTCACGAGCGAAAATTCTCAACTAACTAACGCCCTTTAAGTAGTCCAAAGCTGACTGAATTTATTGCTAATTTTTCCCCGATTTTTTTTTAGCTCTGATTGGCTGACAAAATTTTTCGCGATTAAGGAAGTCCCCCTTTCGACAGCAATGAAAATTTTTCATCGGTTTAGCTGAACGCGATTCGGCTTACACGGATTTCAAAAGCTGTCTGTCTTATTTATCGAATTTTGTTATCGTTTACTGATGATACTGGATCCAGTTCACCGATTATGGTCAGGGTTCCCAATTGGTCTGTATTTACCGACCTGGTCGGTAATGTCAGTAATTGGTCGGCATTTTTAATGAGGTCGGTGTTTTTTTTCTCAGCTGACGTTTCTTCGACATCCGAATCGAATCAACGACACCTGATGGCTGATTAAACCCTGGATTAAGATATTTGTTTAAGTTAAAGATATTTTTTTCGTTTGTATGAGTTGAAATGTTCAAACAAAGTTTGTTATTCATCTTGTGTCAAAAATTATGCGAGGGAGAAATGTTTTTCTTTTTGGTCTGTAAAAGTCGGTCTTTTGAGACTTTTTGGTGGCCGGTTTTTTGCTGACCGAATTGGGAACCCTAATTATGGTTCCTTGTTTACACAAGCATAGCTTGTGTTATAGTATGAACTCTTTTTTTCCAACCTAAGTCGCAAATATTGTTGCGACGCTAATATTCTTGCGATAAAATGTGTTCATTTTGAAAGTGTTTATTTTGATCAGTAACCAGCTATTAAGTACAGCCAATGCTAAGAATATAAACACCGGTTAATATTGTTCCAAATTTCGTAACGAAAGTAACAGAATAATTATGCTCGGGTCGGTTTTTTTCTTCAGACAAATTTAGACTTTTTACTAGCCATTTTTGACAAAAGTTATTTCACCTCTGATCATGTTTCGTAAAATTACGGGGGTTTAAATATTGCCTTTTTGGCCAATTTGGGACAATTAACGCGCGATATATTTCAGGCTTTTAACGCGTAAGCGGAGGTTTAATCAGTCTTAGAAATCATTCCAGACTGGTTGAAGGAAGCTTATTTGCCATAATTGATTTGTTACTAGGAGTGAAATTTATCACTTTGTACTTTATATGGCGTGTGGGGGGATGATTTGCACAAAAATCACATTTTTTTTTAAATTTCATTTTATTTTAATTAACATTCAACTTTTCCATGTTATTGCTGCTCCATAGACCTTAAAATGCAGTCAGAAAATTCTTGGCTTTGCTCTGGTACGAGCAGTTTTGTATATCAAATAGCACTTTAGCTTCAAGGTATCATGAATCTGTAGCGCAGTATTATGGAGGAGACCCGCAACAAAATAAGAGGGTAGAACCTGGGCAGGGTCGGATGTTTTTAATGAACTTTTTCGTATACTAGCTAAAATGCGTCCGCTCTAAAAAGTAAGGCATGTGCAATTGATTTTTTTAAAGTTTTTCAGTATGACTGTTATTGCTAATGCGTCTTAGCGTTATCGGTCATATTTTTGCTTGTGTATGCGAAGTGGAACTTCGCCTCTGTGTGACACAATTGAATTAATGAGCGTATAAGTCCAGATTTTTGTCCTACCCAACTCGTAAATAAAAGCGCTCATTTTGTGGCAATTTTGCTGGCCTAGCATTAATAATTAAATAACATCTGGTGTATCTGCTATGTTGATGGATAGTATTTGACGTTGGTCAAGCTGCCATTGAATAGATGCGATGACAAGAGATTCCTAATTTACAGGTCGGGGTTCGATTCTGGCATAAGTCAAAAGTTTCATTTTTCTTATTTTACTTCCTGATTTTACTGATTCCTTACTTCACTTGTTCACCTTTTTAGAGCTTCTTTTCGCAATTTTATCGCTTGTCTGCGAAGTGCCGCTTCGCATGTGTGTTATTACGCAAGCAGCGCTTGTGTTATAGTATGAAATCTCTTTTTTCCAACCTTAGTCGCAAGTATTGTTGCGACGCAAATACTGTTGCGACAAAATGTGTTCATTTAGATTAAGTACAGTCAATACTACGGATGATAACACAGACTATTTATTACAAATAGCACTTTAGCTTCAAGGTATCATGAATCTGTAGCGTAGTATTATGGAGGAGACCCGCAACAAAATAAGAGGGTAGAACCTGGGCAGGGTCGGATGTTTTTAATGAACTTTTTCGTATACTAGCTAAAATGCGTCCGTTCTAAAAAGTAAGGCATGTGCAATTGATTTTTTTAAAGTTTTTCAAAATGACTGTTATTGCTAATGCGTCTTAGCGTTATCGGTCATATTTTTGCTTGTGTATGCGAAGTGGAACTTCGCCTCTGTGTGACACAATTGAATTAATGAGCGTATAAGTCCAGATTTTTGTCCTACCCAACTCGTAAATAAAAGCGCTCATTTTGTGGCAATTTTGCTGGCCTAGCATTAATAATTAAATAACATCTGGTGTATCTGCTATGTTGATGGATAGTGTTTGACGTTGGTCAAGCTGCCATTGAATAGATGCGATGACAAGAGATTCCTAATTTACAGGTCGGGGTTCGATTCTGGCATAAGTCAAAAGTTTCATTTTTCTTATTTTACTTCCTGATTTTACTGATTCCTTACTTCACTTGTTCACCTTTTTAGAGCTTCTTTTCGCAATTTTATCGCTTGTCTGCGAAGTGCCGCTTCGCATGTGTGTTATTACGCAAGCAGCGCTTGTGTTATAGTATGAAATCTCTTTTTTCCAACCTTAGTCGCAAGTATTGTTGCGACGCAAATACTGTTGCGACAAAATGTGTTCATTTAGATTAAGTACAGTCAATACTACGGATGATAACACAGACTATTTATTACAAATAGCCTTTTAGCTTCAAGGTATCATGGATCTGTAGCGTAGAGGTAGGGAAGGAGACAGACCCGCAACAAAATAAGAGGGCTCGAACCTGGTCAGGGTCGGATGTTTTTAATGAACTTTTTTGTATACTAGATAAAATCCGTCTGCTCTATAAATTGAGATATGTTACTTGGTAAATTTCTTTTTTTTTCAAATTGACTGGCACTGCTAATCCGTCATAATTGGCCTGCGCACTTAGCAATTATGTAGACTCATAATTGGCGTGCGTCACGTGAGAAATTTTGTAGACTCAAAGTTTTACTTATTCAGTTTTTCACAGTAGCGTTCTCGGTCATATTTTTGCTTGTGTATGCGATTTGCAACTTCGCCTCAGTGTAATTTTTACCCCTAAGAATGGATTTATTCAACGGTTAAGCATACACAAGTTAAGCTTATATTTTAAAAACATTTACATATAAGGATATTTGAATAAATGTGAAAGGGGAGCTAGTTAACAAGTTGCATTTATTTTACAGATAATTTATTCATTGTTGTTGTATTGTTTAGCTTCTGGAGAGTGTGAAGGTGGCGCAACACAACAAATTGTTGATCGGTTACTTCTTCGCATTCCTTGCCGAGACAGTAATGCCTCTTTACTTGCTCCAACTGAACTCGCACATCTCCCACAAACTCATCTACTTCACTCGTGCAGAGGCACACTTCAGAGATGCACTCGACACATTCAGTGAGTAAAAAAGCCTGATGAAAGTTTTTTGGCTGATAATAGATGAATTTGGTGCCTGAAATTAGGTTTGATGATTAGTTTTATGGCTAACAACATCGTTCGTCAAACAACACTGTTGTATTCAAGTACCGATTTTTTTGGCAAAAAGTGTTAAAAAAAGCATAGATATATCAGTTTTGGGAAGTGGAATAAAAAGAATTGTAAAAAATCAGGTTTTATTCACTGTCTTAGTTCTCAAACAGCAGCTGTTCAAGCAAAAAACTTTTTGTGGTCGGTAGTAGCGTTGCATTTGTTGGTTCTATCCTGCCTAATTGGGAAGTCGCAATTAATGGAAAGAGAAATGAATCGGATTAAATGTGATGCTCTAAAACATAGTTTGAAACACTAGCTCAGCTAGCATGATGAAGGAATTTAAATTATTATGGATTGAATTTGAAGGTTGATTTTTTTAGCCAGTGGGAATGAAATCACCCCATTTGTATTCTTCATAAAAATACATTACCACTCCCTTCCGATCTGCTACAGATATCCATTCTAGGTTGTAATTCTTGGTTTTACAAAAGTTCATTTATCACCAAGTTTTTTTCGATACCCAGTTTTGATTGGCAGCCAGCTTCATCCTAATGGGAGCACCGAACTATCAAAAAATAACTACACTACGAGTTTGAAATATTTTAACTCAATGATACCAAATTTTGCAAATATTATCCAATGTTTCGGGTTGTTAGGACGCTAAGTTTATATTGAACTTGATTATTGAGAGCATTTTTTTTTGCTCTTCAAACCAAATTATTCTGAATTATTTGCAGCTGACTTTGTTTACAGCTGTCTGCGAACCAAACTTTCTTCTTAACTAAATTGCGCGTTCTTTCAGAAACCACCCTCGTAGAAGCCTGTTTCACCCCCTCTGATAGTAACGAAGAATACGATGCTCGAATGCAGACAGTTGAGGTGCTGCTGAGAAGGCCCTCGACGATAAAGGGAACCCGCGGCTCTGTTAGACCCCCGCCACTCATCGACCTTTCGTGACCTTATAAATCGGAACTACTCTATTTTTCTTAAATATGCAGTTGAAGTTTGAAAGGATTGTACAAATGAATTTATCAAAAAAAGTTAGCGAACTATTTTGATAGTTCGATTACTTTTCTTCAATCTAAAGTATCAGGAATATTAATCTACGTTTGACATCTATTGTTTTTTTTCCGATGGGCTCCTGATTTTAGAGGTTCAGATTTAGTCACATCGAAAAGATATTGTAAAAAGTATAATTGACACATACCATTTATAATGAAATATATCATGCAATATCACTTATGCATTTCCATGGAAATTACCTCTAATTGAAATGTTGTTAACTTCGTTTCACCAAAATGAGAATAAAGTAGACCGTTGCAAGTGTTCAACGGCTGTAGAAATCATTGTAATTCAAAAAACAAAGGTGAACAAGACGGCTCGTATATCAGGGCAAAGCCCTGAATGTTACGACTGCCCCTTATGTAGTCCCGAATAGTTTCTGGTAGATAAAATGTTGAAGAGCTATAAATTGTGAACAGGACGGCTATGTTGAGCAAAAAATATACAATGCGAAAACAAAACTGCTAATGTTAGGCGAGTCTTTTGAAAATTATAATGTAAATTTTTGATAAATATAAAATCGTTTTTTAAGTTAGGGCAGATAATTTGAAACCTTCTGAAGGATGTTAATATCGCTAGTTAAAAATTAACTTTGGTATTTCTACAGATCCGTTATAGGGTAATTATATAGGGAAGAGGCAAATTAGTTCCAAGTCAAGTTTAGACAAATTGTTCCAAGTCAAGTTTAGACAAATAAAATTGTTCGAAATCAAGTTTAGACAAATAAGCGGTCCAAATTGGTCAAATATATGGTCCAAATTAACTAAAAAATTGAATCACCCTGTGCTTGAAATTGTGTTGATGGGATGTTTGCAGAAAAAAAATCTTTAACGTTTAAAATTTTTAACTTTCATGGACGTATTACTTTTGAACATGTATCAGATACCTTAAGGAACAGAAGGAATTTCAGGGCTCCACCCTGATAAAAAACAGTCTTGTTACAAATTCAACATTCTTGTTTTTTTAATAACACAGAAAATTTTGGCCTATAATTAAAAAAAAAATTGAAGAGACCAAAATATTTGTGATTTTATTGTTTTCTCAAAAATTAAACTACCAAATCTGAGATTTTTGTTTCAATGAATAAATCAAATTTTAAAAGCTCTCCTTCATAGGCTGCTACGCTCAAATTTTTTCACAAATAAATTTACTTTGGATTTTTATTTTTTTTTGTTTGACTGTTTTTTGAATCTTACGGTTTTTCTCAAAAACTAGCCTCTCAAACCTGAAGTTGTAGGTGCAATGGAAAAAAGGGTAGTGCAAAGCTCCCCTGTATAAGCGTCGACTCACGGTTTTTTCGAAACAAGTTATTTGCTCGAAAAAGTCAATGTTTTGATTATTTGAGCGTTTTTTTCCAAAATTTTTGAGTTTACTGATTATTTAGCGTTTTTTTTCCTAAACTTTTTGAATTCAAGCAAAAGAACAGGTTGCGGGAAGCTCCTTTGCATACGCGACTACGCACATTTTTTTACACAAAAATTATGGACTTCGGAAAAGTCAACATTTTGACTTAGTAACTTTTTTTTGAAATTTTTTGATTTTTCTCGAGAACTAACCTGCCGAACGTCGGTTTTTGGGTTCAATCGAAGTTAAAGGTTGGATGAATATTTTCTCAAAATTTTCATGATAATTATCCTACCAAGTTTGATATTATAAGTTAAATCAAGTAGAGAATTCATAAAGATAATTTATTTTAGTAGAGATTCAACTAAGATTTTTAGCAAAGAGCATTTGTGAAATTACGCGTTTCGGGTCATTAGTATAAGAATTTTAAATTGTTAACGATTTTGGTCCCTTGGGTGTCATTCATGAAAACATACGAAAATATTTGGCTCTCCAAGTTTTTTCATATCAAAATTTGACATTATCATTTTTTAGATTACAATGTCATTTTTAAAATTTTCTGAAAAACTTTTAAAAGAATTAAAGTGGGAACAAAATTGATACAAATTCATCAAAAAGTCATGAAAAAGCATGCTGGTGCCCTATTCAACAATTTTTTTATGAGGAGTATTGTTTTGATGGGCATGGCTAGCTCGTTGCCAGGCAATCTAGGAATTTCTCGAGGTAGGGCGGATTTTCAATAAAATTCTAAAAATTTTGTGGACCTTTTTTTTAGGTCGACCAAGTTGATTTTTTGAGCTCTCCCAAATCACTATAAAGACCTAATTTGACCAATATTTCTGCGCTGCAGGCAAATTTTTGAAAAAACAGGCCGAAAAAATGTGTTTTTAGGCACTTTTTTAGACACAATGCGTTTTTTGGTGCGCGCTCGACCCTCAAAATTATTGTATATTGGCGCCAAAGGCGCCTCTAGAAAATTTTAGGGTCCGTAACCAAAAATGAATATTTGAAAATAGTACAAAGGGGGGACTCTTCTGGGTCGGCAGGGGTGGAATCCCTGAGGGGGCGGCGTCCGCCCCCCCCCCCTCCCCTAAATCCGCTACTGCTCGTTGCTGTTACTTATCGTAGAGGTTGCATTTGTCGTCTCTAGTAGTAACTATGACGTGGTTTGTTTGGGTTTTTGTTGTTGTTGCGGTAGCTAGACCTAAGCTCGAAAGCGGCGAAACAAAAAGAACAATTATAGAATGGGAATAACAAAAAAAAAGATTAGTGAGAAAAGTTGAGGTCCTTAGGTCAAACTTAAGTTACGTTTAGTTCAAAATTAAACCAGTTGTTTGTTAAATCCTAAACAGCTTCCAAATGAGTGTCCATTTAACGGATTTGTGAAGATTACGATTGGGTCGAGGGGTAAAGCAAGGGGCGTGCTTCCGTGCTCAAATAGTTGGGAGCAATATTGAAAAGAGTGGAGGGGTTTTAGTGCTTTTAGTCTGATTTGCAATTAAAACTTTTTCTTGATAAATTTTGTTTTCAACTATTTGGTCACTTTGTTTGATTAACCATGATGTTAGTGACTTTAGTTTTATCTTTTTCTTAAACGCATATCATTTATGATTCATGTAGTAATTTGTTTTCCCAGTTTTACAGAATTCAATGCAATAAAACAAGGTCATGTATAGAGGTGATGGATGTCAATTGTCCAATTGGTAGATATCAATCCCAAAATATAAGTAGTTTAATAAGTATTTTCGGCCGAAAGTAAAATGATTTTTAAAATCCCCCAAGTTAATAACTTCTTCCAGGGGGTTGTGCATTCGCGGACATCAAATGAGCGTCTCTTATTACGACGTCGACCAGGAGTATGTATCGCGCTGTGCGCACCAGTCGGAATCTACTCGACTGTATGACCAAAACTTGTTGCATTATTTCTTGCGGCTCGGCAGAGACTATGCGTCATTTTTGTAACAGAGGTAGATTTGTTTTATCTGTCTCAACTTCAAGGTTAGTTTGAGATTTATTTTCGTTTCTGTGAAAGTGCTGAGGATCTACAAAAACAGTTTATCCTATCAAAGATTGTCAATCGGAAAGAATAAACCTACATTCTAGATCAGAAATGGATCTACAACATTCTCGCGCGATGGCGGGGGTGTGGGGGGAAGTCTGGGTGTATTCAAAATTGTCTTTAAAAACTTTTGACGGTCAAAAAATTATGTTCTTAAATAGGCCGACACTTTTCCCAAATATAAAATCTTTGAAGATTTTAATTTAAAATCAAAACAATTTTGGTTTCATCAGTATTCACCCTTGCGGTAGCAAGGGTATTGAATTCGGGCACCAGACTTTTTTCCCGTAAATAACTTAAGGCACAGCATGGTCAAAATTAGAAATGGTAAATTCAGGTTCAGTTCTAGTTAATTCTAATTTCTTTGTGTATCCGGCACCTTTGGTCTGGAGGTAATGAGTACGCTTCGGGCTGCAAAAGTCCTGGGTTTGAATCTGACAGGAACATTTTTTTTAAACCGACAAGAATTTCGTTTTACAAGAAAAAACTGTCGGCGCATTGTTTGCCTGCTTATGTTTTGTCGGCATAGTTGTCATATTGTAGAATTGTTGTTTATTTTTTTTATATCTGATACTTGGAATTTTACTTACTTTGACCTTGTGTTTTCTTTTTTCGCAGAAAAACTTTATTCTGCCCAAATGATTTCGGCCTTTTTTTAATAGGCTTAGTGAACTAATTTTGATTCGTTTCAGGGACCATAAAATTTTGGATCGCATAAAAAATAATAAAAAAATTTTGTGCGTGCATGTCTGTTTTGAGGATGAAGGAGACTTATTTACTTAAGTCTTGCTTATTTTTTTTTGGCCTAAACAGTTTCCGCTTAAGCAGTTTTAGGCTTTATTACTTTTTGGTAACTTTTCTTCCGCTGCTTACTTCACCTTCCCTTGATTTTGCTTGTTTTTCTTTCATTCGAAGATTAGCTTTACTTTTTTGATAGATCTAGTTTTTTCCACATTTTTGATTTTTTTTTCTGATATTGCGGCTTTTTTGCTTTGTATCGCTAGTAGTGCAAAGCTCAACTTCGCCTCTGTATTGGAAATTGTGATCAAGGTTAGATAGTAAGTGTTTCGACAAAAAATCAAAATAACACTGTAATCTACTCTGTAATCAAAATATTCTTTTCTGCCAATTATGGGGAAAGTTTTCCAAAAATTGATTAATATTAGCCTGAAATTTTTTTTGAACAAATATGATGTAATAACAGCATGTCAGTATGGATTTAGAAAACACTGTTGATGCTATCTAATTCTCTGAACAGATATTGGAGAACTTAGAAGATAATGTTGGCTCCATATGTACGTTAATAGATCTTACAAATGCGTTCGACACAGTTATTCACAAAATCACAAAATCTTACTGAAAAATGCGTACTATAGGTCAAATTGTTAACTTTTGAGGTCATACCTTGCGTATCGTAAACAGTATGTTAGTTATATCATTTCATTAGCAGACACTAAAACAATCTACTATGGTGTACTACAAGGTTCAGTCCTGAGTCCGTTGTTGTTTTTGCTCTAGATAAATGATTGCCAAACATCTGTAGGCATTATAAAGTTAGACTGTTTGCTGATGGTTGCGCATTGTATACAACAACTAAAACAGGAAATCAGTTAGGCTGCAGGTATATGAGCTTTTTAAACCAATGGTTCAAATTAACAGACGATCTTGTGGAAATAAAAAACTTCAAGAATACATAAGTGATCAGGAGATAAAAGTTACTATCAAAATAGGCAATACAGGAAAAAACTTCGCAGCCGAGAAAAGTTTACTACAAGAACAAACAAGAAAATTGAAAAAAGGTTTCGTATTTCGTATAAAAATT